AAGATATACAGGAGGGTTTCGTGGTTGGCAGCTTTGATGGGCCTATTCAGACATCTGATTCAGAACATTCAGATAATGAACCGTCTGAGACATTTTCACTCTCTGACAGCATTTCCAACTGGGCCATACACTTTGGAATTTCTTTGGTTGCTTTGACAGCACTGTTGTGCATTCTTCGCATTTGCCATCCTGATCTTCCAAAGGATGCTAGAACCCTCCTTAGGACTAAGACAAAGTACTCTATCATAGAAAGAGCTGGGGGACAGTACAACTATTTTGGTATTCTGACATCACTTAGAAGTACGCTGTCTAAATACATACACACACTTGCAGACAATTTTTGTTTGAAGTTACAAATTAACATTGATGGACTTCCTTTGTTCAAGAGCTCTAGTCTGTAACTGTGGCCCATTCTTGGACTACTACTGAGTGTTCCTATGAAAGAACCAGTAGTGATAGGTTTATTCTGTGGATCAAAGAAACCAAGCTCAGCAACAGAGTTTCTTGAAGATTTTGTAACTGAGTTACAACAGCTTGAAAAAGGCTTTGACATAGAGGGTAAGACATTGAAGCTTGAGCTGGACACAGTCATTTGTGACACACCAGCCAGGTCCTTTGTTAAAAACACAAAGAACCATAATGGTTACCATGGTTGTGACAAATGTTCTCAGCCTGGTAAATACATTAACAGACGCATGACATTCCCATGTACAAACTATGCTCTAAGGACAGATGATACATTTGAAAGAATTGTTGATGAGGTTCATCATCATGAGGGGCCACATCCATTTTATGGCAGTAGTGTTGGCATGGTTTCACAATTCCCTCTCGATTATATGCATTTGGTTTGTTTGGGTGTGGTAAAGCGTTTGTTGAAAATTTGGCTCTGGGGTCCTCTGAATTTCAGAATACCTGCAAACATAATTGAAATAATGTCCGCTAAACTGGTAGAAATGCGTCCCTATATTCCTGTGGAGTTTGCTCGAAAACCCAGATCACTGAGGGAATTAGATCGCTGGAAGGCCACTGAATTAAGGCAGTTTCTGCTGTACACAGGACCTGTAGTATTAAGTACCTTTCTGGACCGAAATATGTACAACAATTTCATGCTACTCTTCTCTGGTATTGCTATTTTAGTCAGTCCTAGACTATCCTACCACACACAGTATGCTCGCACCTTGCTTAGATCTTTTGTTTTACACTTTGGGGAAATATATGGCAAAGATCAACTTGTGTATAATGTACATGCTTTGGTCCATCTAGCAGATGAAGTACAACAACATGGTTGTCTTGACTCATTTTCTGCATTTCCCTATGAAAGTTACCTACACAAACTAAAAAGGCTTGTCAGAAAACCAGACTTTCCTCTTGCCCAAATTATTCGTCGATTGTCTGAGATGAGAATTACTGACACTCCTTTAAATGGTGCCTCTTTTAAAAAACAGCACTTTGTTGGGCCACTTGTAGATGGATTGTCAGTGAAAGCACAGTATGGTGAGAGGGCCTGTGACAAGTGGACTGTTAAAGGTTTCAACCGGGAATAATGTCTTTGTCACCGGAAAAGAGATTTGCATGATACATAACATTGTGGAATGCAGTGATGGAGTCTACGTAGTGTACAAAGAATTTTCAGAGAAGTCTTTGTTCTTCACTTACCCATTCAATTCTGACTATCTGAATGTCCATACTATGTCAGAAACATTGGATATATTCAAGTGTGTTAAAGCTTCAGAGCTTGTCCAAAAATGTGTCGTTTTACCTCATAGGGATGGTTTTGTGGCCATACCCTTATTTCATACATTTTAGGAATATCTCCACAGGTAAAAGGTTTAGTTCACCCAATAATTACTAATATTTTAAGATCATTTACTCGCTCTCATTTTTAATTATTGGGTGAACTAAAACTAAAGTTCTTGTGTTCTGATATTAGCTGTAAGAATTGATGCGGTTGCACTTTAGTTTTGATGACAGGTGTTTATATAGAATTAGGACCAGATACATTGACATTGACATTACCATGCATCATCACAAACACTGCAGTCTGAAGCTGGATAATAATTAACTGTAAGTACTTTACTGTAAGTTGCTTGTTCAATGTGTTCTAAGTCATGTTTGTTTATATAGCATTATATACAATATATATTGTTTCAAAGCAACTTCACAGTAAGTTGACAGTTCATTGTTGATTCAATTGAGTTCAATGAGGCCACGTTTACACTGCAGGTCTTGATGCCCAATTCTGATTTTTTGAACATATCTTATTTTTATTTTTTTTTGGACCAGCTCTTTTTTATTTAAAAGTGACCCATATGCAATTACACCATGCACTGTATGAAATAACCAAGGTAGATGTACTGACCTGTTCTTGAAATGGGAAGTTAAATTTCTCTGGTGCTGTTTGTTACTTCTCGTTTTAGGATGTTTCACTTAATTGAGTTCCTGCTAAACAAAACCGTAGCAGTGGTGCCACAAAATTGGTACAGTGATGGAGTTACCTACTGGCCAAACTACAAAAATGATGAGAGAGTGAACAGAGCAGTGAAAAATTCTGAGGAACCTGGACCTGACTGGAGAAAATATGATGCCAGAGTTATTAAATCCTGTAGTATTTTCATTTTAAATAACCTAAATGGCTGTTGTAAGCAAATATCAAAGTATTTTGGCAATATGTTATATGGGAAGAACCCTTTTAATTCCATTACCTCATTGTTCTGTTGTCTATAGTTCTGTTCTTTTTTTACTTTATTAATTTGAAGATCTACTTAAGTTTAAACTATAGACTATTTAATTTTTAGGTACCTACTTTGTGGCACGACAAGTTTTGAAGAAAGCTCTAAAGTGCAACACATCAGATCTACAGTCTGAAGAGGAAGAGGAGGAGATTCAGCCAAAAAGAAGGCCAAAGCCGATGTTAGTATAAGTTATCCTTTATATTTTACATTATCTTTTTGGCCTCTATATATTCTCAAACATAATTTAGTGTTATGATATGATGAACCCGACAACCACCACACGTAAAGCCAGCTGAAATAGAGTTAAATGGACAGTATGTTTTCTGGTTTCTCAGAGAAACCATTCTCAACCAATTTCACTGATTTACAACTTAAGTTCTTAGGCCAGTGAAAATGTTTATGACAGATGTTTTTGTCCAAAGCAACTTACTATGCATTTGAAGGTATCCATTTACATTTACATCAGTTCTTGCTTTCCCTGCGAATCAAACCCATGACCTTAGCATTGCAAGCGCCAACACTCTACTGTTTGAGCATCAGAAAGGCTTTAGATTTTTTATTATTATTAATAATTAATAAGATGTTTACTGCTTGTTTTTTTCCACCCTAATTTATAGTCATTTCTTCTGAGACTCTGATGAGAGCGAGGAGGAAGATGCTCATAAAAAGAGAGGCAAACTTTTAACACAACCATCAGCTCCTGTTATCGCACCACCACCTTTTATCCTGAGTAGTGGCACATCTGCTCCACCTCCACCCATTTCTCAACCTCCACCCATTTCTCAACCTCCACCCATTTCACCACCTCCACCAATTTCACCGCCTCACTGTTCACAGATACCAGCAGAAGAGCAAACCCCTTCTGCAAGCAGGGTCTACAGACCTACCTGGCGGGGGGGAAGATGTGGATCAGACAGTATTGCCTGCTCTGGTGAGCAATATGTCATTAGATACAAGACTCAAATAGTTTATTTTGTCAGCTTTTTTATTTGTATGCATACTTAGTCCTGTGTCAAATTTACTATTTAACTTTTATCATATTTACTCAAACTTATCCTGTTTTTGTTTAGTTCTTTTTTTAGTCAACTAAACTTATGGGCATTTTAATCTAGTTTTTATTTAATGAAAACTTACATTTTTTGGCATGCTGTATAATGGTTAAAATGATAATCACTTAATCAATCATTTAGTTGAGCTTCTGTTTGTGTTCTCTGATCAATACTTATATGTGATTAGAATCCTAAATTAAATTCTATAAATCCACACTGTGGAACTTTTGGCCACTAGTGGCACTCAACCAGTAACTTTCACGTCTAGCTTCCCTAGAGGCCACAAGCTCCGCAGCACTGTCACAAATTAAAGTCAACAAACAGTCAACCGGTCAGCCTCCCGTGTCTTTAGATTGTGTGTGCTTGCAGTGTTTGAGGCGGGCCGGGCAGCCTTGCCGCACTCGATTCCCTTATAGCAGTCTGCTGAGAGAGAGAGAGCGGGGTGAGCCCTGTGGGGCTTATGTCTGTGAGTGAATGTGGGCACGGAACGACGGGCACATTCACTGCACTGAAAACACCGTCGGTCTGAGCTGACTGTATGTGTGTTGGTTTATTTTTACAGAAACCGTGGGACATGTGGTGTGTAGTGTTTGTGGGTACTACTGAGTTGTGGGCACGTTCACTACATTTAATGTAACGTTACATTTAACATGAGCCCATCTTTCTAGTGCGAGCCCTGCACTGAGGCGGGCTGTGTTTGTGTGTAGAATTAACACTGGGCTGTGGGCATTTTATTACATTCATAACACCATCGGTTGTGGCCGGAATACCAGAAAATACTACACTGCTTATATGAATTTATCTGGGTTACCTTGGAAACGGCATTTGTGTTCAGACAAGCGTTCGCATCGGTCGAGCACTCTTCCTCTTTTAGCTCACGCCAGACCCTTTTCTTTTTTAGCTTCCTCTGATAAAACCGTTGCCTTCTTCCTTGTAGCTGTTGTCTGGCCATGACGAAAAAAAAAATGGCAATCAAACGTGAGTTGATTTTTGGGGTGGAAGTGGGGTGGTGGGGAAGTGACGTATGCCGTAAAGCGGTCGAATTTTGTAGTTCTTTTTGTGCTCGGGTTCCTACCCGAAACCCGAAGTTACAAAGTGCTAGTAAAAGCGATACAGACACCTTGTCACGGTTCATGAATCGGCTGTCTCAGGCTGATGTGTCTGTGTGAGTTTAATTGTGTGGGTGTGGTTACTCCATGTGGAAACAGTGTTAGTGCACCAGTCGACCCGGGGGTTGTGTCTGGAAAGCCACGGGTGACCCAAAACCACTGGTGCAAGTGGTGAGTCCATGAGAAAAAATGAAATGAGTTCAGTGTGATTTCCGGAAGTGATGAGGGTAATGTCTTCAGTAACGTGAGTGATGCGGGGAAGTTCTTGACCATTGAGTGCGTTGACGATAATCGAGTGCGAGAGGGGTGTGACGGGGATCTGAAGTCTATGTGCTAGTCTGAAGTCCATGAAATTACCCTCCGCTCCCGAATCCAGAAGTGCGCTGGTGCAGTGCGTTGATTGTCGCCATCTCAGTCTTACCGGGAGGAGGGTTGATGTTGATGAGGTCTTCTCGGCGGAGATCCCACCCGATAGTAGCCTCATACTTACTACCGGGCTTGCTCTTTTACCGGGCAGGAGTGGATGAAGTGGCCCGCCCGGCCACAGTAGAGACAGAGTCCTTGGGATCTCCGCCTCTCCCTCTCCTCCCGGGAAAGCCGAGCTCTCCCCACCTGCATGGGTTCGTGGTCGTTTGGGGGGCTGACCGCGCTCGCACCACCGGGTTGGTGGTCCTCTGCGCCGAATACTGGGCGGCTGGGGCGCGTCAGTCTGGCTACACGATTCAGTCGAGCGTCCACTCTCAGCGCAAGTTCCACCAGTCCATTCAGTGTCTCAGGTAAATCCATAGCGTAGATCTCTCTTTGAACGCGGTCAGCCAACCCATGCAGGAACATATCCCACTGCGCCGCCTCGTTCCAACGGCACTCTGCGGCCAGGGTGCGGAACCGGATGGAAAAGTCCGCCACCGAGCCTTCTCCTTGTCGCAGCTCGGCGAGTAATCTGGCCGCCTCCTTACCCGCCACTGCACGGTCGAAAACTCTCTTCATCTCCTCGGAGAGTGCCTGGAACGAGGTGCAGCAGTCGTCCTTGTTCTCCCACACCGCCGTCCCCCAAAGCGATGCTCTTCCTGACAGCAGGGTTAACACAAATGCCACCTTCGCCTCTTCGCTCTGGAAAGTGTGTGGCTGTAAGGCAAAGTGCATAGAACATCTAGTGAGAAATGCTCTGCAAAACTCAGGCTCACCGGAATATCCCTCAGGTGTGGGTAGGCGTGGCTCTGATCTCCCCGCTGCTGCAGGCGCTGGTGGTGGGAGGACGGGCGGCGTGGGGGACGCAGTGGGAGAACAGGTGATGACGTGCTCGAGTGATACCCAGGGAAGTGGAACATCCAGAAGACACGAAGAACTGACGAAATCCAGGTAACACGAAGAACTGATGAAATCCAGATGAGACACAGACGAGGCACGAGCACAGGAACACACCGAATGACAACCACAACGATCTGACAACAAGAGGGAGAAAATCCTGGGTATATATAGGAACTGAAATGAATGGCAGCTGGTGACACTAATCAACACAACGAGTAACCACACCAGAGTATGTGAGCGGAGTGGAGTGGGAGCGGAGCGAGGAGTGGAGCGGCATGATTTTGAATGGAGCGCGGAGCGGATTTTTTAAAAGTCGGAGCGTCGTGGTTTTCACTCGCTCCGAGCGCGCTCCACTACCGCTCTATCACGAGGACAATTCATGCCAACGGCTCATTATAGAACTGCATTTTTAGTAAGGATTCACGTGTTAAACACATTACGCTAGCATGATACAGATGGATCACTCAAATCAGAAAAAAATGTGAGGGTTATGATGACGCTGATGGACATGAGTGGCTGCGGGAGGTTATAGTTATCAAGCCTGTACTGAATATGAGCGGGCACGATCTCATGAAGTGCGAATCTATAGCACACATTTTATTTCTCGTGCCTATTATTATATGCCAAAAAATTGTTTGTCCGTGCAAATGACGCACACTAAACCCCTTGGTTAGTATGGGTGTGAAGTGCGTTCTTGCCATTAAGTGCGTATCGTAGGCTATGCCACGAGAAATAAAATATAGATAGCCTACGCACTTTCATGAGATGGGGCGCTGGATCGGGCGGGGTGAAAGCACATTTTAAACAGGTAACACTCACCAACGCAATCGCTTTCTCACTAATGCATTGCATTCAAACAAATGTAATCATACAGTCGGCTATCTCTGTCAGTATTTGATTTTAAATGAGTATGAATCTGTGAGAAATGTAGCGACCCGTAGATAAATAACTGATGAAAACGTAGTTATTTTCTTCTTTCCAAACAAAATGTGCTCTGCAAAAAGCAGCAATGATATTTAATTTATAATGCTGGTAACCTGTAATAAGCATAGCATGTCATAGGAAAAGTTTGCACACTATCCAAATCCAATAAACAACATTGCAACTATTCTCCTAACGTTGTTTTTTTTTTATTTATTTACTATGCCTATGTATCTATTATGATGAGGAGACATTTTGTGAGATTTTAAAGCATACTTAAATACTTTATTCGGAATTTCCTTGGGGAGCGAACACGGAGCGGTGTTTCTGATATCAGTGAGCGAGGAGTGGAGCGGGAGCGGTAAATGGTGAACCCGGAGCGGAGCTGGAGCGGAGTGATTATATAATGCTTGGAGCGTGGAGGGGAAATTGTTGCCGCTCCACTCCGCTCACATACTCTGAACCACACCCACACAATTACACTCACACAGACACATCAGCCTGAGACAGCCGATTCATGAACCGTGACACACCTTCAGGCTATGGCAGACGTGTCATTCAATCTATTATAAGTCGATGTACCATCTCAATGGGTTTTGGTAATATATTATAAAGGTTGAAGAGTTCCACAGTGTGGGTTTAAGGAATCTATATAAAAAAATACACTATATATTTCTCATCTGTTCAGTGAATTGGGCCTTAATGAGTTGACCGATGCAAAAATAATTTTATTTATATATTACAAACTTTTTTCTTTCTTTTTTTACAGCTGCAGAAGTCCACATATTAAGCCTGCTGGAACTAATAAAGCATCAACAAGAGCAACTTATAACTAAAGTAAATTACTTGACGAGCAAGTTGAATCCAGCAGGCCAAGACATGGAAATGCTTGAAAACCCAGTTGTGTTTCCATTAACATCCATGACAGAGGTTGAGAATTTTGAGGAATGGCTCAAAAATCCTGCAAATAATCAACTGAAGTTTAGTGTGGTGAGTTGTTTTTCCCAATCTCACTAAGATAAGTTTACATTACATAGTGTTTTACTGTTAAAGTATGTTGATATTTCCTAATTTTGTTCGATTATTTCATTTGGGAGAAAATTACTTTATTTATCATGCATGTACAACTTTGTAGAACATTTACATTTCACATTTTTGTATTTTACACATTGCATGAAAGGAAACATTTAAAAGCCATATTAGGGGCACTTTAAAATGACCTTGGGATGTTAATGACCTTGGGATTTTGTTATAGTTAATTATTTTGAACGTTTTAAGCAAAATATTTTTATTAGACATTTTATCATCTTTTTGAATGGTCTTCCAGTCTTATTCTTATGCCCATAATAAATAACAGATTTTTGTCACATTTTAGATTTCCTCCCTGGCAACTATTGGGGGCCATGACACGAAACGTGTCACATGGAACATCCTTTCCCGTATGTTCCATGACGATGTTGCGAGGAGAATCAACTGGAAGGGCATGAATGGGAAAAAATCTTTCAACCAGATGGAGTCAAAGAAGTTACTCCTGTGTAAGTAAATGTATAAACAGGGTACCTGCGGATCTTAAAAGCCTTGAATTTGGTATACAAAGTCTTGGATTTCGTTACAAAGGTCTTAAATATTATTAAGTGACCTAAATATATCAGATGTCAGTACACTTTTGTTTTAAAGCAACACCAAGGAACTAAATAATTTAGCCTACCACAGCTTGCATGCACGCTCGCTGTTTATCCAGCACCTGCTTTGGAATGAACAGAAAAGGTATAATATGTTGCTAAAAACTAAATAATGACTATTGTAACGCTTGATGTAAAGCAAGTCAAATTTGTAGTTTTCTTTTGTCTCATTAACTACAGAAACGCGCCTGATCTTGTAATCTTACATAGCGTGGTTATAGCAGGTATAGGACCGCAAAGCGGAGGCAGAAGTGCCTTTCACCCTGTTACGACTTGAACACTGAAATGATTTTGGAAACTTATATATTAACTTATATACTCATTAACTTATTAACTTATATAAGTTAAAAAAGTATTGTCTATCCTCTAAAAAAACAACAACCTCATAGCTTCAATGTGATTTCATGACATTTAATGTAAAAATCTGCTTGTGTATTACAGGTGCTGTGAGAAAGAGCCATGTCTCCCGTGCCGCCACCGATGACGACATTACAAAACGTGTAATCCGTTGGTTCAACCTGGCATCAGATAGGGGAAGCTCAAGGAGCCGTCCCCCCTGTCAGCAAACCTTGACCGAACAGTAGTGAATACTTTATCATTTTAGTGTAATGTTTTTCACTAAATAAAATGATGTTCTTGGTACAATTCATGGTTGATTTCATTATTTCTGTAATGTCTATTCAATGTGTACATGATAAAAACTATTTTTTTTAAAAATAGTAAATACATTTATAGTCTGTAATAGCCTATTTTTTTATTGTTACTTGCTAAAATTATTGTTTAATGATTTCGTGTTTTTTTTTTCATATTAATAAAGGCAGCTACACTATTCAAGCTTTTATAAAGCAATCCAGTCTATCTAATTTTATCTAAACCACCATTAGATTTTAAATATATAGTTTTGGCCAGTAATTGGGATCTGAAAGGTTTCCTGACTGAAATGAACGGATCCGGATCGGATCCGCAGCGGACACGCTGCTTCATAAACGGGTCCAGATCGGATCCGCGGCGGATAAGCTGCTTTATCAGCGGATACGGGTCGGGTCTGCCGCGGATCTGGTCTGGATCCGCAATCCTTATCTGTTCCGGATCCGTTGCGCTGTGCAAGTGGACTCCATTCCGGACCCGTTTTGCGGATCCGTTCCGGAGCTTGTGGTACCTCCGTGGCGGATCCGGTCTGGAGTCAGTTTGCTAGCTGGGTATACATTTGGCTAAGACTTGACTTGATGAGGACTGCATGCTACCAACAGCTTGTGTTTCTCAATAAATAATCTTGCTAACGAAAGCGCTACCCAGCTAGAAATTTTACGTTCCCACAACGTTCCCAGGCAGTCACGATGTGGAGTTCTTTAAAGGGTTTGGGGATGTTATTTGGAGGACCTTCAGGGAACGTTCAGGATGTTGTGAGAACATTACCATGTGACGTTCCTGACACCAGCGGCACGTTCTCAGAATGTTTTGGAAACATTGGATTTCTGACTTAAATATTGTCCTCTAAACGTTCCCAGAACACACTGAATGTTCCCTGAAGGTCCTCCAAATAACGTCCCCAAACCCTTTAAAGAATTCAACATCATGACTGTCTGGGAACGTTGTGGGAACGTTACCAGACAACGTCCTTAACACCAGCGGGGACGTTCTCAGAACATTTTGGGAACGTTAAATTTCTAGCTGGTAATATACAGGACTTTAATGTACAATTACACCTCAATAGACTGAATAGATCTCTTGCACTCCTAAAAGCTTCTGTTGATAAAGTAGTAGCTGCAGAATAAATCACTAAAAATAAATAGAAAGCTGTGCTTGCATCTGTGAAGACGCTGTAAGCTGTGCAGACGCTTACATCGCTACATGTAACGTTAAACACAACACTAACGTCTTCACTTCCAGGTCAAGAAGCTTTCAATCAAAAACTCAGTAGCCAATGAGAACACTGCTGCTAGCCACAACCCCGCAAGAGATATGTGTCAGTTTGGCGAACGAAAACTCAGGGAGCATAAACGAAAAATTTAGAAGCATAAATTAAAATTATGGGAGCGCATTTGTAAGTTCAGATCAGAAAGATGTGAAAACAGCGATTTTTTTTCTTCAGTTTCACAAATATTTTATTCAGTTTCAAATTATATTTGCATTTGTTTCTTGAAAAGTTACATTCATTATTATTGCCACAAATGTAATTCCATAGTATGATACCCCTAGTTATATTTTTGAAAATTATTGTAAACATTTTTGAACCATTTTAGTTATAACACATGATCTATGCTCAGAACAACTACTGTCTAAGTTCAGTAAACATCATCAGAACCAAGGACTTCTTTTTCTGTTAAATATAAGAGTTTTGGCCAAAATAAGCTTTTTGGAGTTTCCATTTGGTATCCCATTTTATGCATAAACATACTCCCAACAACCCCAAAATATGTTCCCAGCTCTGATCATTCCCACAAAAATTGTGTCTTAGTATTGTAGGATTATGACTTTTTATGACCCTTATTATGACCTTATTATGAATTTCCAACTCATTTTAACAGCTTTCACCATTCAAATTTCAAACCACTGCTCTTTGCATTCTCACAATACTAGCCTCTGACTCACTAGTCTAAACACTGTCAGTACAAATCCTGAGGCCATGACTTCACTCATTAACAAAAGTGCACCTCAGTGTGACATACAACCATTTTTATGTATCTGCCTCTCTCTCCCTCTTTTGGCACACATGTGCACGGATAATGGCACACATATTTGATCCTTTCTGACAGAGGGCCAAAGGCCTGTGGGTTTCCCACTGCTCTGCCAGCATCAGATTCCTCTGCCTCCTTTTTCAAATGGACGATTAAACATATCCATTCTTTCCAGTGCACTGTCAGAATCCACAACCAGAGCACTCCTAATATGTCTGGATAACACACAGTCCAACCACAGCAATGCATGTGATCTCACACACTAAATGCTTCCATCCTGCCTTGGTTGAACTGTATGTGCAATTGTCTCTGTCTCTCTGTTTTTGTCTTGTGTTTTGAATGGCAGATGTGAATGCATTTAGCTGAAGAGTTCTCTTACAGGGACAAACACTCTGCTCTTAACCGAATCTCAGTGATCCAATTTGATCCAGAATGAATCCCTGGTCTCTGATGAATGGTTAAAACCAAATTGATAATTTAATATCCAGAATTATTCCAATAATTTTTCTTGGAAACACTTTAGAATACAGTTCTACCAGAAAGACTCAGGAGATAAACTGTAAAGCAGAATACATTTATTGACAGCTCAGCAAGCATAAATTTATGAGTTCCCTTTCGAAGGGAACTCAACAATACGTCGAATGACGCAATGGGGGAATGCCTCAGGCGTGACAGGTGTCTGAAATCAAATATCAACTTACAGTAATCAGGTTGACCGGCGACAGCCCGTGCATCATCAGCTTGAATGATGAGCGCGTCAATCTGGATGTATAAGAAGGGCGCCTTGAAACCGTGACAACATCTTTTCGTCTTCAGGGACTGTTTGTCTGTGTGATAGTATCAACGATTAAGCGCGCAGAGCCGTGGAGAAACACTTTGCGCGAGTGTGCCGACTTGTGTCCAGATATTTGACACTGGAGGATTCACACGATCTGTGCGTGTTCTGCCTGAGAGAAGAGCATTCGCGGGAAGCTCTCGAGGGAGTTTTTTGCGCGAACTGAGAGTTTTCCTTTCAGAACTCTCTGCTCTTGTCTGACCCACTTCTCGAGGGAAGTGGGCGCGGCATCTGAACCCCGCGGTTCCGGTTCCCGCTCGGGCTGAGGCTCAGTGGCGGTTGAGCTCGTGGAGCTTTCAGGTGGAGCTGGCAGATTATCGGGAGAGGGGCGTTAACCTCGCGGATGATCTACCAGCTGACGAGGGTGAGTTACAGATTAATGATGAACATCTAAGAAGAGAGAAAATGAGCGCTCTCTCTCTTTGGTGAATCTGTAACTGTTCTCTTCGGCAGGGCAGGAGTTGGCTGTAATATATATATATATATATATATATAGAAAAGGGTGTCAGTTTGGTTGAGACCGAACCATTTCAGCCCTCCTGCCCAGTGTACGCTAGCTGGTTGACATTATGGGGCGCGCCACAGACAGATTGCAGTTGCAGTGGAGGCGCGTCTGGGAGGAACCCGCTCATGGTATTTTGGATGGCTGGTTCCTCCCCACCCATAAGCCACCAACCCGGATGAGTCTTCCATTCCTTTCTGATCTCCACGCTGGGATTGAGAGGGTATGGAAGAATCCGTTCTCCTCAGGTCTCTATCTACATCAGCGGGCTAGTTTCGCTGCTGTGGAGGGAGCCGTGGAGCACGGATATGTGTCGATGCCGCCAGTGGACGAGACGTTGGCTAACTATCTCGTCTCTGGTTGGTCCTCTTCACTAAGAGCTCTGACCCTGTCATCCAAGCTGCTCAAGACATCTTCATGCTTGAATGACAGAGCGTACACGGCAGCAGGTCAGGCAGGTGCGGTTCTGCACGCCCTTGTGGTCCTCAGGCCTACCAGACTGATCTGCTGCGGGACTCCGGGCCACCAAGCAATCTGCTGTTCCGTCAGTGCTATGGTGGCCACGGAGAGACATCTGTGGGAGCTCCCACATACTGTGGTTGCCGGGTTACAGGCCTCACCAGGCCTTCCTGGTTATGAGCTCCCACTGATTGTGGTCGCCAGGTTACAGGCCTCACCAGGCCTTCCTGGTTATGAGCTCCCACATGCTGTGGTTGCTGGGTTACAGGCTTCACCAGGCCTTCCTGGTTATGAGCTCCCACATACTGTGGTCGCCAGGTTAAAGGCCTCACCAGGCCTTCCTGGTTATGAGCTCCCACACATTGTGGTCGCCAGGTTACAGGCCTCACCAGGCCTTCCTGGTTATGAGCTCCCATATACTGTGGTCGCCAGGTTACAAGCCTCACCAGGCCTTCCTGGTTATGAGCTCCCACATACTGTGGTCGCCAGGTTACAGGCCTCACCAGGCCTTCCTGGTTATGAGCTCCCACATACTGTGGTCGCCAGGTTACAGGCCTCACCAGGCCTTCCTGGTTATGAGCTCCCACACATTGTGGTCGCTACGTTACAGGCCTCAAAGGGGCCTTCCTGGTTATAGTTCCCACATACTGTGGTTGCCGGGTTACAGGCCTCACCAGGCCTTCCTGGTTATGAGCTCCCACTTATTGTGGTCGCCAGGTTACAGGCCTCACCAGGCCTTCCTGGTTATGAGCTCCCACTTATTGTGGTCGCCAGGTTACAGGCCTCACCAGGCCTTCCTGGTTATGAGCTCCCACATGATGTGGTCGCTGGGTTACAGGCTTCACCAGGCCTTCCTGGTTATGAGCTCCCACATACTTTGGTCACCAGGATACAAGCTCTCACATACTGTGGTCGCCAGGTTAAAGGCCTCACCAGGCCTTCCTGGTTATGAGCTCCCACACATTGTGGTCGCCAGGTTACAGGCCTCACCAGGCCTTCCTGGTTATGAGCTCCAACATACTGTGGTCGCCAGGTTACAGGCCTCACCAGGCCTTCCTGGTTATGAGCTCCCACACATTGTGGTCGCCAGGTTACAGGCCTCACCAGGCCTTCCTGGTTATGAGTTCCCACATACTGTGGTAGTCAGTTTACAGGCCTCACCCAGCCTTCCTGAATGTGGGCTCCCACATGCTGCGGTAGCCAGAATACAGCCTCACCACCTTTCCTGAGCACTTTGCTCCCACTCTGTGGTCACCAGGTTTCAGGCTTCATTGGCCTTCCTGGTTATGAGTTGTCACATGTCAGGTTGCAGGCTTCACCAGGCCTTCCTGAATGTGAAACCCCCACTTTTCGTGGTCGCTAAGTTGTAGTGGTGAGTCTTCACATGTCAGGCTGCAGGCCTCAGCGGCCTTCCTGAATGTGAGCTCCCCGTGCATTGAGACTATCGGGTGTTAGGCCTTGTTAGGCCTTCCTGATTATGGGTTCCCACTTGTTGTGGCTGCCAGGTTACAGGCCTCAAGTTCGGCCTTCCTGAATTCAGAGTGAAGTACACGAACCCATACTTCACCTATTATTGTGGTAAATCACATGACGGGATATCTTGTGTACTTTATAAAATCCATTTCGTATGGTAAGGGTCACGCGCGGTATGCTTCGGTCCCTTCTTATGTGGGTCAGACCCCGGTCTTCCCTTGGGTCCCACTCTAAGAGGCGTCCTGTCACTTA